TAGCTTTTGTGTGTATAAATAAATAAAAAATAAATCTTTTTTAAAAAAATCAAGCAAAATTATATATATATATATTTACTTGCCTCCCGAAAGCCTGTTCTTTATCCAAACTATATAAATTCATAAACGTATATGTTTACAGTTGATGAGAAATATAATATTTAATGCTGAGATATCAACATATGAAGTTATTAATCACTTTTCTTAAAATTCTGAATCACAACATTTTTAAAAAATTATGCAGAATGCTTTACTGAAAATTTAAAATGATAACACAGTTCACCAAAGAGGCAGGTTATAACATCAATACACAAAAGTCCATTGCCTTCCTATATGTCAACAATAATCCAGAAGAGAAGGAAATTAAGAAGATTATTAAGAAGATTATCCCATTTACAATCACACCAAAATAAATAAATAAACACCTACAAATAAACCACAGAAGCTAAGGATCTATGCAAAGGAACCTATAAGAAACAGAGAAGACACAAAGAAATGGAAAGATATAAACATCTAATAAGTTGGAAAAAGCAGCACTGCCCAAGTGAACATTTTGCCCAAAGCAATATAGATTCAATGCAATCCTTATCAATTTTTCAGAGGCATGTTTCAAAGAAATAGAACTAACATTAATGAAATTCATGCAGAATCACAAAAGACCCCAAATAGCTAAAGCAAGCCTAAAAAAAAAAAAAAAAAAAAAAAAAGAGAGAGAATGAAGGAATTATATTTCCAGACTTCAAATTTACTACAGAGGCATAATAGTTCAAAAGGCATGGTACTGGAACAAAAACAGACAGACACACAAAGCAATGCAATCGAATTGAGACCCCCAAAGTAAACCCACATTAATATAAACAGCTAATCTTTGACAAGGAGTTAAGCATACACTGGAACAAAGGAAGCCTCTTCAATAAATGGTGTGAAAATTGGACAGCCACACCCACAGTTGGATAGCAACCCCACTCCTAGATATCTACCCAAAAAAATATAAAAACAATAACTGAAAGATAAATTTGCACTATCATGTTCACAGAAGTTTTACTAACAATAGTATAAATATGAAAACAATGAAAATGTCCCAAAATAGAAGAATGGATAAAGAATATGTGATATTCACACACAATGGAATATTTACATTCAGTGACCAAAATTAGTAAAGCAGCCTAACAGTACTTACAATATGCTACTACAATGATTATTTGTGACATTATAATTTTTGTTTCTCAAAAATTCATTTTTATATTATAGAATATATTGGATATATCATATTGTTTTTATATTACTAAATTAAATGTATCATATTATAAGCAAATCAACGTAAGTATTTAAACATTGACAAAGATGGACTGTACATAACTTAACTGAATTTTGTCCTAAGGCTTTATCACAAGTACCTCCAAGAAAAATTAATTTTATCTTGTCTCTTATCTGTGAAGACCTGGACTATTTACTTATTTTATTCCTCTGAACACATCCTCAAACATTTGTAGATGGATATTAAGGTCAAACACAGCATTAAACTACTTGGCCAATTTTCTGAATTCAGCAAGTCAGTTTAAAGGTAAAGTCTGTAAAATGCACTTAAGAATTTGAACAAAGTCACTTTTTGATCTGGTTCAGACACTTCATAAACGAATGTAAACTCAAGTTTTCCACTAAAATAAATTAAATGTATTATTAAATGAATTATTTGTGAATCCTATTTTTAAAGCCTTTATATAATTGATAGCAATCATCATTGAGTCTAGCTTAATATGGTCACAGCGCTGAAGTAAAACTCAAAATTGAACTGTAACTGACCAATAACAAAATTTAAAATAAAAATGTGTTCTACATTAAAAAGAATTTTTTTTTTGTAGTCTGATTTATGTTGTGTTTGCAACATTAATTATTCCCAGGAGTCCCTGATGGCATAGGGGTTAAGTCTCAGCATTCTCATGCTTTCACTACTGTGGCCTGAGTTTGATCCCCAATTAACCTAGCTAAAGTAGGTAACCCACAAGGCACAGCACACCTCTCCTGTCTCACACACTGCCCGCCTCAGCAGTGTATTTCAATAATCTGCCTCTTCTGGCCCCTACTCTGTCTCTAGTGAATCCTCTCAACCCCACGTTTTTGGCCTACACACTAGTTCTTCTACACAAAAAGTATTTTTTTAAAGGATTTATTTATTTATTTATGCATACAGAACTGGGGTACAGGCCAGAGGTACAGGAATTGAGAGGATTCACCAGAGACAGAGTGGGGTGCAGAACAGACAGATTGAGAAGTACACTGCTGAGGAGAGCAGCAGGAGGTCAGGAGATGTCTGCTGTGCCATATGGGTCACTTCTGGGGATGGGGATCCAACTGGCACTGAAGCAGCTGTGTCCAGCTTGCAGTGCTGCACTCTAAACCGTTGCACCACCAGGGAAGGCCCACAAAAACAATTTTTAAAAATAATTAATTAAAAAAATTATTCTAAGGCAGTCACACCATTAAGTCATTAAAGATTACCTATAAATGTCCCCAGTGAATCTGACATACAATTTATGACTTTTTAAGGAATCCTGGACAATATCTGATTTTTTTTCAATAAAAGCATAATTTGTGGTGTAAAAATAAAATAAAAAATTATTTCACTACAATGATTTCATAGACTATTTATAAAACCTTAAAAAAATATCCACAGTGGCCCTCCCTGGTGGCGTAGCGGGTTAAAGCACAGCACTGAGAATCTAAAGCCGCTTCCGCATGAGTTCGATTCCCGCCTGCCCCGGAGGTGACCACATGGCGCGGCAGACCTCTCCTGACCCGCCCGCTGCTCCCCTTAGCAGTGTACTTCATCGATCTGCCTGTTCTGCTCCCCACTCTGTCTCTGGTGAAGCCTCTTGCCCAGTTCTGTATACACAAATAAATAAATCTTTAAAAAAAAAAATCCACAGTAAGTATAGTATTTTCTGTAATTTTTATACTAAGAATATTATTAGACTGAAGAATACCTTTATTTCTCTCATTTTGATATATTATACACTGTGACTTCATACTCTGTATTGGTTTTCTTTTTTAGGTACTATTGATTTATAACTGTAAATTTCAAGTGTACTATTTCATGTTTTGATCTCATCTACATCATTATAATCACCAACAAGGGTTTAGGTTCCATCCAATATCATACAATTGCCTTATTTACCTATCATAGCACTACTAAGCCCTTCCCCTTATGGTAACCACTATTTCACTGGTGAATCTAGTGGTTGATCTTTTTTCTTTTTTCATTTGCTCTGTTTATTTATTTACCACATGAGTAAAATTTTATTTTTCTTTCTCTAGCTGACATTCACTTAGCATAATCCCTTAATGACCTTAACATAAATTCTATCCATGTTGTCATGAATGGTATAATTTCCTCTTTTTTATAGTTGAGTAGTATCCCTTTGTGTACATAATTTGAATCTTTTGAGTTTTTAGTTACAGACTTACCTATTCAAGCACTAATTATGCAAATATGTTAAATGACTATTTAATGAAGATGTTGCTTCTTTCACAATTCTTACCTAAATAATGCACAATCTGATCAAATTCAATTTATTTATGTTGTAATAGTTCAAATTTGAGGTTTTTAAAAAATTTATAATAGTGTTTATTCAAACGCTTTCCAGAATATAGGAAAATATGACACATAAGTATCACATTTACCCATCTGTTACCATATAAGTCACATTTACCCATATCATGATACAGTATATAAAACAAAATAATAAAAAACCATTATAGAACATTATTGTCTCAGTATCCAAAATGCTCAGTTATTTATAAGAGTGTTCATTGCATGTGAGTGTCACAGAAACTATTATCCTAAATGTGAAACACTGAAAACAATACATTACAAATATATCTATAGGAAAGCAAACAAACATATACAAGTATGGCCAGAAGTATCTCCAAACTGTATTGAGTTTGGAATACACAATGTAATATTTGATGATTTAACAATTTTAAATCATATGAGAGTGTAAGATACTATCACAGAGCTATAAAATGAATATTTTGACAATCCAGTACTATTTGGTTACTCTATTTACACTTAACTGAAGTAATACGGAATGGAAAAAAAATCCGATTTTAGTAAATATGAAGCTACTACCACTGCCACACTAATAATGTAATATAACCAATTATAAGTGGCAAGCTTTAGTTTAATTAACTGATCTTATTGAATGCAGAGAAATTCATAATACCTGTCTAAAAGAACAACTTCTACTTATATATAGAAATACAGAAGTGTATTCTAGGGCATATTTTGTTAACTTGAAGATTTTCTAAAATCTTAGGCTATGTATTTTCTTAGTTCCAAGAGATTACATTGTAAGAACTGTATAGAAGGATGGCAATCCTTTTTGTTACTTCCATTTAAAATAAGATCAAGTACATAGAGCATAGCTTGCAGGCCATCACATATATTTTGAAAGTTTCAACATCATTTTTCATACGTTATTGTAGTTTTCAAGTGAGTATTTTTACATGGCTAACAGATGAACATTATATAATATATAGCAGCATAAATTGCTGGAATCCATAATAAATATTTTAAAGGGTCAAAGAATCATACAGACAGTTGGCTATTTTTATGCCAGAACAACAAAGCACATAGTTTTTCAAAGCAAAGTATAAGAGCATTCCATGCAGGCAAGCAAATAATCTGTCAAAGAGCATGTTACTCTCTGGTTAGTAAGATAAAGCAAAGCAAAAATAAATAAATAAAATAAAGAATTTCATGAAGCAAAACCTTTTAGGTTTGTGTATATGCAGTATCTTTATTAGTGACATATTTTGAGCTGTCAGGGATTAAATAGTTCATATTTGTCATCATATGCATGCACAGTGAATTCCCACTGTCGTATGAATAGTCAGATATTGCAGTTCTGGAGCCAAAATAATACGAGTTAATTGAAGCTCTGATATATTCTAAGATGTGGGGACTACTAATACATAAAATTATATAAACGTGAACTTACCCTTCTAGTCTTACATCTGGCAGACTTCTGTTAAGAGCAATCAAATCACTGGCCATGAGATTGAACTGATTGATTTTAAACAGTTCTTTCATTTTCTCCTGGTCATCTTTAGGAATCAGCACAGCCTTTCCCATTTCTCCTGGTCCTTCTTGGTTTCTTGAAATAACAGCTGTAGAACACACACAGATACACACATACATGCAAACACAGATAATGAACTGAATAAATGTATGTATCAGATTAGATTTAAAAGTGTATTATTTATAGACGGACTTAGTAATATAATCAAGACTTTCTTACTTATCATCCATCTGTTATATTAAAAAATATCTTAATTTATTAATTCCATATTGTATCTTATCTTTCAGGTTTAGACATATTACATTATCTGACAAATCATTAAAACCACAACCATGCAATACAAAACACCAAAGCTTAAAACTTCTATCATACCTTTAAATGTCATAGATATCTGAATCACCATTGTGAGGAAAACATTTGGTTGATCAGATATACCCACTATATAATTTATAAGAGGAAAACAACTATTTTGCTAAACCATTGGGGATGTAGGCCTATTTGCATATATAATAGTGTTATTTTTATTAGTGCACTTTATTTTTGCTCCTTCCGTCTATAAAAACTCAATAATGCATTCTGCCTCAACTTTGACTCAGCTCAGTGAATAAATTTTATAAAGTAGAAGTACACTCTGAGACAATCTAGTTCTTCTACAGAAAGATTGATCAACAAAGTAATTAAAACAGATGTCTTATCCAACTCAGAGATGCATAAAATTAGCCACCGTGGTATTAAATAAAAATAAAATTCATATTTATTTTTAATTTACAGAAATAATCCACAATAGTACTTAATATTAGTAATGAGACATTTATATATGCATTATAAATAAATTTGCATGTATTAATATAAGCTCAAAATTTTCTCTTGATAGTGGAACACAATTAAAAATGTGTGGATATGGAAAATAAGGAGTTTAATTAGATCACAAATCAGATCCTAAGCAGATAGATGAAGAAGAACCACTTAACTAAAGCAAGTATGTGATTTATCTATTTTCAATCCCCAAAGTTAACTCTTAATAAAAATAATAGTTAATGTAACATTGACAAATGTTTCTTAATAACAATGCAAATTAATTGTTTAAATATTTGTAGCTATCAATTTTATAATCATGGATCAGTTATTCTTTTGTTCTTGTCCATCTTGTTTTTTTCTTAAACTATTTAAATAATTTCAAAGCTTAGTTTAATGAAGGTTCTATGCCAATGCATAGACTTAATGTATATACTACAGTGAATGATTGCATCACCTTGCCCTATAATATTTACACACAAAAATAAAGGTTACAAATTATGACTCAATTAAAAAATATGCTTTAAGGAATACAGATTGTACCCAAAGTTTTGCCTTCCCAGAAGATCAAGGTATGATTACATGTTTGTACATGTCTGAAAAGAAAATGTATTGTTTCTCTTTCATCTCTTTGATAAATAGTATATAAATTGTTGTATCCATAGAAGGAAGCTATCTAGCAATAGAATATACCATAAGATTATTTCATGAGGTAAAATAGGATACTTATGTATAAAAAGGTCAGAAACAATATAGCAAAATCAGCTTATTTCAATAAAATACTAGTTATATGATACATACCCATATGTCACCAATGAACTTAGTAGTGGTTTATTAGAAAAGTTTGTTTCCCCCCCCCCCCCTTAACATTATATATACTTTCAGAATCAGGTCAATATTACCTACTATGGTGATTTTAAAAAAAGATTTATTTATTCGTATAGAACTGGGATACAAGCCAGTGGTGCAGGGATGGTGAGAGGCTTCACCAGAGACAGAGTGGGGAGCAGAGCAGGCAGATTGATGAAGTACACTGCTGAGGGGAGTAGCGGGCGAGACAAGGAGAGGTCTGCTGTGCCATGTCATCTCTGGGGCAGGGGCTTGAACTCACACTGAAGTGGCTACCGCTTGCAGTGCTGTGTCCTAACCCATTGTGCCACCAGGGAGGGCCCCACTCTGGTGATTTTTAGCTACATAGTAATTAAAAATATGGCATAAGTGAGGATAAATATAACCTGACTTTTATTGGTGACAAGTATAACATATTAGCATGAAAAAGAAGGGATGAGTTTGGGTGAAGTTCCCCAAGGAAGGCTTCTGTGTTTACAACCCGTAAAGAATTATGGTCTGTTCTATCAGGACAGCTCCTCCCAGGAACTTCACTACAATTTTCCAATAAAGATGACAGTTGAACAAGACGAGCAGCAAAGTACTTAACTGCTTTTTAGGAATAATAAAATTCCTATATTAGTATAACATTTTTCACTTTCCTTTCATTATCGTGCATACAAAACCTTCTATATACCTATTAAAGCTAAGAAATACAACAGAAAGTATCTTGGCAAATGTTGTAATCATGTTTCCTGAAGACAACTGTTTAAAACAAACTGTTTAAAACAAAGTTTTAAATGATTCAGTAAAATAATGCTGAAATATGAAATTATTGCCTTTGCATTAAGAATAAGTTTCCTCATTAAAAGTATTTAAAAGGCCAAATTCTGTAATGGTTCTGGTATTAGCTTTTTTTCCAGTTCTAAACAGGAAACCCCCACTTCCCTACCGTCCATACTCTGCAAAAACAACATGAATTCTTTTGAAGTAAATGTACCCATTTTAGTTGCCAGATGCTTTGGAAAGTTCTTTGTATGGGATGATCTAAAGTAAAACAATGATTATTTTAAAGAAGCCCCTTAGGCCTCCTTGAAGACCTAGGGGTTAAGTCCCAGTGCGATCACACTATCACAACTGTGGGCTGAAATCTATCTAGAGCTAACCCACCTATTGGAGCAACAGATCTCGCCTGTCTTGCCAGCTCACTGCTCCCCTTAGCAGTTCATTTCAATAGATCCACTCTGTCTCTGATGAATCCTTTCACCCCCCTGAACTTCAGGCCTACACCCCAGTTTTTCTATGTGTGAATAAATAAAAATAAATTATAAACAAAAATAAAGAAGCCCCTTATACAGTCCAACATTCGTGGTTTTCTCTGGGCTGAATTCCACTTAAATATCCTAACATACTTTCCTACAAATCTTCAACCATTTTGATTATGTTATTCAATAAATTTAAGAAAGTATGAAAATATATCTGCAATAAATAGTTTATGGCAGACTAATATGTTTTACAACAAACCACAACATAAAAAAATTAAGATAAAAACTTAAAAAAAAAATCTGTATTTTCTTTTTTCATCCCCAACCATGAATCCTATGCACCTGTAGGTGCAGAGAGTACATTCTGGAAATCACTGTAGACATAAAGTTGTGATAACATGCAGTACTTCAGATCTCCAGACACATTGCTGTCACAGGGTATTGTTTGTTGTTATTGGTTGGTTGTTAGAAAGGTGATATTTTACTTTGGTACTCACTTCAGCACTGCACATGGAGTTGGCCTTCTTACGAACTATTATTTTTATAAGTCAAATCTTATTAAATCTGATGATATATAAATTTGGGGTGTACGGCTTTACATTTCTCTAGGCATGCAAAGTAAGTTGCACCCAATACCAAATTCTATTACTATCCCCATGATTATTGAGTAATCTTAATGGCACAATACTGAAGAAAAAAAAATCTAGTTTCTGAGGATAAAACTAGGGATTAGATGCAAGTGTTAAGGATGTCTTTCTGCCTTTCCTTATAACAAGTTAGACTGTCCACATCTCATGGAAAATGGATATAAAGGTGTTGTATATAGGTTTATGTTCTGGTGGGGATGGTAAGTAAATGAGATTGGTGAGGGTGGTGGGGGGGAGGGATACAGAACTGGAAAGATGAGTTTAGGATGGCAGAGCACATAAGGTAGAACCTTTAAAATATAACTTGCTAATTTTTTTTTTTGATGTTCATGAGTATATCTCCTGAAAGATAGTTAAAGTTTTGCTAATAGACGTGACAATTACTAAATATCATTAAGCTCATGAAGGTCCTAAGTCTGCATGTCAGAAAGATCAGATATAGCTCCAAGAGGAATCTCACATATCAGTACATTTAGGTAAATAAATATAATAGTTTTTTCAATTTAACTGTCAGGTAATAAACCCAGAAGATTTCTTATTACATAAATTGTTATTTATTTTTAAATCAGATTTTTAAAAAAGATTTATTTATTTATTATACAGAACTGGGGTACAGGCCAGAGAAGTGAAGGGTGAGAGGATTCACCAGGGACAGAGTAGGCAGTAGAACAGTACACTGCTGAGGAGAGCAGGGGGCGGGTCAGGAGAGGTCTGCTGCACCACGTGGATCTCCTCCAGGGCAGGCGGAAATTGAACTCATGTGGAAGTGGCTTAAGCTTCTTAGTGCTGTGCTTTAAGCCCTGCGCCATAAGGGAGGGCCCTAAATCAGATCTTTTTTTAGAAGCTTCGACAATAATTCCAGGTTTCAAAATAAACCACAAAATGATATGAATTAGCCAGAAGGATTATCATAGTAAGAAATGTAGATGATAATTATTTTTTCAGGGAGACTTTGCGGTGGAAGAAATATGTTCAATATTCCATCTAGCTAATCTAAACGCTAACCTCAGTGATCACATATCTGATCACTACCTGGCTCCTACCCACCACACCTGTTAGCTTTTGGATGTTTTAGCATTTTATTGGCCATCTGTAAACACCAGCTGCTAATCTTTATATTTCCTCACAAGTAATTATAAATCTTATTGCTGATCATTAATTTATACTTAGTTTTATATTTTCCATTGCCTCTGGGAATTTTCTTTCAGTTAATAACAAAACCAACAACGACACTAATAATAAACCATACCAATGTATGACTTTATTTACCAATCAAAAGAATTACACTGAACATGCTGACATAATAATTTATCATTAAAATTGCGATCATATCCTACTCCTGCCCTTTATTAAGTATCCAAGTATTCTAGAAACTTAACTATTCAAAACACAAGCCCAAAGTAAAAATTCATTTCATAAACATTTATTATGTGTCCAAAGAAATATGGTAAGTTAAAATTTCAGTGCTGCCTTAAAAATTAACACAATGCTAACCACTAGTATGGGCACTTTTAAGTGAGACTCTGTCTTAAATATCTTCAGATCTATATGAA